ACAACTCCCAGAGGCCTCCACGGTTTAGTCAGAAAATATAGTGAAGCAGGAACCAATTCTGGCCCAACTAGGGGAGAATAGCCAAGATGGGGAGGGAACTGGAAAACATGCCGGCCATGTGAGAATCAGGTGAAGGAACTGGGGAAATTTAGTCTGGGGTAGAGAAGACTTGGTTGGCCATCTTCATGTCTTCAGATATTTGCATGGCAGCCAAAAGGATTCGCCTGGTTCTACTTGGCACCAGAGGGCAGGTAGAGTTCAGTTTAATTTAAAGGGAAATTTTCTCATAGTTTGAGCCCGGGGTGGAGAACCTGTGGCCTTGAGGCCACATGTGGCCCTCTAGGTCCTTGGGTGTGGCCTTTTAACTGAGTCCAAGTTTGACACAACAAATCCTTCGATGAAGGGGATTTGTTCTGTGAAGTTGGGATTCAGTCACAGGGCTGCACTTGAGGACCTAGAGGGCCACATGTGGCCTTGAGGCCGCAGCTTCCCCACTCCTGGTTTGAGCAGTCCCAAAGGAAAATGGGCTGCTCTGGTGCCTTCCCTTTGTGTGAAGCTTTTACACACAGGCTGGCTGGCCATTTGCTGGAGATATTTTGTTGAGGGGATTCCTGCTCGTGGCCAGGGTAGACTAGGTGCTTCAAACTCCAAGAGTGTAGAATTACATGGTTCAGGAAGTGATGAGTTCCCTGTCCCCGGGAGTCTGCAAGCAAAAGCTGGAAGACCCCTTGTGAGATAATTCTTTGGCATGTGAACAGTACTGGATCGATTGATAGCAAGCTAGAAGGGGCCTTAGAGACCTAATCCAACACTTTCATGTTATAGATGGGGAAAATGAGTCTCATTGAAAGGAAGTGACTTGTCCAAAGTCACATTACTTTTCATTGGCAAAGCCGGGACTGGAACCCGGAGAAGGGGAGAAGTTGAATGCAAGGAGACACATTGGCAGGCCATTGCAAATACAGTTAAGAGGTGATGAAGGTCTAAACCAGGGTGGGGGCCGTGGAAGTACAGAGAGGGGGACTTAGTTGAAAGATGTTATATTGGGCAACTAAATGGCTTAGGAGGATGAGGAAGAGTGAAGACTAGGGAGGAATATGGAGATTGTAAATGTGGGGTGGCTGGAATCAAGCAAGCAATCAGTCAGGGTTTATTAAGTGCCTACTATGTGCTAAGCACTGTGTTAGCATCTAGGCATACAAAGATAAAAAAGGAAACAGTTCCTACTCTCAAGAATCACATTGTGATGGCAATGCCCTGGACAGAAAAGGGGAAGTTAGTGAAGTGGTGGCTTGGGGAGGGGGGACAGAAAGAGATCTAGTTTAGGCATCTTGAGTTTGAGATGCCTATGGGACAGCCAGTTCAAAACGTCCAGGAGACAGTTGGTGATGTGGAACCAGAGCTCATGAAACTGTTTAGGGCTGATAAACAGATCTGGGCCTCATATGCAAAAAGATAAGAATTCAATCTGTGAGAGAATTGATCCAGGCCACCGTAAGCCCAAGAGGACCTCTCCAGGACAGATCCTGAGTATGCCCCCACAGTGAAGGAGTGGCACATGGATGACGAAAAGACAGAGAAAGAGCAGTCAAACACAGAGGAGGAAAACCAGGAGAGAGCAATGTCACAAAAACCCAGAGAAGGAGGAGGTGGTCAATAGTGTCGAAGGTTGAGAGGTCAAGAAGGATGAGGATGAGGATGAGGATGAAACCATTGGATCGAATAATCAAGAGATCATTGGTGACCTCAGAGAGAGTAGTTTCCGTCTTGTGGTGGTCAGAAGTCAGAGAGCAAGAGGCACGGGGTGAGAAGGAAGAAAGATGAAGCAATAAATAGTCAGTTGGTTTTTTCTGGGAGTTTGGTGTGAAAAAGGAGGGAAATAGGACATTAGTTTGAGGAGACGATAGGGTCAAATAAAGGTTTTTAAGGACTGGAGTGTGTCTGTAGGCCACAGAGAGTGATGGAGCGGGGAAAGAGGCCGGGTAATTAGAGGGGGGGGGATGAGGCAAGGTGAGCTGCTGGAGCAGGTGGGAGGTCGTAGGCTGAGAAGTGAGAGGCTGAAGTGCTGGATGGAGGGAAGAGGGGCAGAAGGAGAGGGGGTCGGGGCCTGAGGGGAAGTGAGGCCCCCTGCTGACATCTTCATCTGCTTCTGAATCTTCTCTGTAACACAGACCCCTTGGATGGCCAGGCTGGGGGAAGTCTACTGACTCCTCTTCCCAATCACGGTCTGAAATGCTTAAAATCAAATCTAGAGGATTACAAAGGAAACCAATTAGATGGAAATGTGGTTATTGAAATGATTTTAAGGAAAACAAGCTTGTGGATCCCAAGATCAGAATTCCTTAGTGCTTGAGGCAGGCAGGTGGTGGAGTTGGTAGAGTCAGGAAATCTGGAGTTTAAATCCCACCTCTGGGACTTTGTGATCCTGGCTAAGACACTTAGCTACTCTTAGCCTCAGTTTCCTCATCTCTAAAATGGACACCTGTAAAACAGAACCAACTTCACAGGGTTGTTGTGAGTCTCGGTTGATATTTTATGTATGTGTGTATGTACATATAATATTTAGATATTATATATAATGAGGTAGCCCTCTGTAAAAACACACACACATAAAATAAGGCAGCTCTGTGTATACATACACACATATGTGTGTGTATATAGAGGGCTGCCTCATTGTGCTTATATGTGTGTGTATGTATATATGTATATATGTATATATATATTTTTATATGTATGTATAGAAGGTTGCCACATTTTATGTGTGTGTATCTATATATATATATAGATACACACATATGTATATACACACAGACCTCTGTATACACACGTGCATATAAAGAGGGCTATCTCATCTTATATGTATATATATATATATGTAACCCTCCATACACACAAGTATAATGAGGCAACCTTCTGCATATATACACTATATATATATTCATATACACACACACACATATGCATACATAGACACTTACTAGCTGTGTGACCCTGGGCAAGTCACTTAACCCTTTTTGCCTCAGTTTCCTTATCTGTTAAATGAGCTGGCAAAGGAAATGGCAAACCACTCCAGTATCTCTGCCAAGAAAATCCCAATAGCAGTGTCCTCTGTACACACACACACACACACACACACACACACACATGCATGTACACACATATGTATAATACACTTATACAGGGTATCTTGAAGGTCATTCAGTGAAGTTTTAAGCTTTAATCGCTTCAAGCTGCCCCTAAGGCTTTGGGTGGCCCCTCCATTAGCGGCCCCTCCCCTGGGGCCCCTCTCTGAGCCTGACAGCTTTAGAGGTCTGTTAGCTTTTCTCTTGAAGGCAGGAGGCAGCAAACAAGACAAAGTCCCTGTCCCTGTTCCTGTCCCTCCCTCTCCACTGCCATGGGCTGGCCTGGCTCAGGGGTGAAAGTAGGAGGAAGGTTATGGAAGGCCTAGAAAGTCCCTTAGGCTGCAGCTTTTGGAGCAAGGGAAGCTGGGCCTTGGAAATCCACAGTTGGAAGGCAGTGAGGCTAAGGACTTCCATCCTAGGGATCCACTCTTTTTTTTTTTTAATTTTTTTTTAAAAAATTTTTTTATTAATTTTTTTGATTTATCAATAATCACTTCCATATGCTTTTGAGTTTAAAAATTTTCTCCCCCTTCCTCCCCACCACCCTCCCCAAGATGGCACACAAACTGATATAGGCTATACATTTACATTCATATTAAACATATTTTCACATTAGTGATGTTGTAAGTAGAAATTAAAATCAGTAGGAGGAACCATCAGAAAGAGGAAACAAAACTCAACAGAAGAGGAAAAAAATAACAATTCGGCTTCCATAGTTCTTTCTTTGGGTGTGGATAGCATTTTCCATGACAAGACCTCTGGAGATGTCTTAGATCCTTGTATTGCCAGGAAGGGTTAAGTTTATCAATATTAGTCATCACACAACGTGGCTGTTATTGTGTACAACATTCTCTTGGTTCTGCTCACTTCACTCAGCATCAGACCATACAAGTCTTTCCAGATTTTTCTGAAGTCAGCCTGTTCATCATTTCTTATAGCACAATAGTATTCCATCACATTCATATACCACTACTTGCTCAGCCATTCCCCAATTGATGGGCATCCTCTCAATTTCTAGGGATCCACTCTTCAATGTCACTGCCAAGTGGTCATCTGGCCTCTCCTTTGGGGACCTCCAGTGGATCAGAGAAGGTCTCCCCTGGCTTTGGGGACATTGCCCATGGCTGAAAAGTGTTTCCTGTCAAGGGACCCCGATCAACCCATCCTCCAGGACAGCAGCCTCCTCCACCTTGTGGTCCCTACCCCCATCGCTCTGGCCTCCCAGGTGACAGCATCAGCCCTAGCCTAGCAGCCCTAGCAGAGGATGGGTGTCAGGGCTTGGGGCTCAAGGCCCAGGGTCTAGATTAGATCATGATAAGAGTGGAATTTGGCTTCAGAGTAGAACCAGAGCTGGAAATGACCTCTCAGAGACCCTCTAGTCCAACCCTCTTATTTTACACTGAGGCACAGGGAGGGGAAGGGACTTGTCCAAGGTCACCCAGATCATAAACACCAGAACTAAAATTTGACTCCAGGTCCCTTAACTCTGAAGCCAATCCTCTTTCTGCCATGCTCTGCTATCTCTCATCTAGTGAGTACAGCTTGACTGAGAAGCTTTCAGGGCCCTTCAAGAGCCCTGGCTGGTGTGGGCCACTGGACTTCAAGCCTTGGCCCATAGGCAAGGGGGTGGGGGAGGGGAAGAGCCAGCTACCCCAGGGAAGCCAAAAGCCAGAGTCCACAGCAGCTTCTGGAGCAGGCGGGAAGCAGGTTAGGGAGGGAATGGGAGGAAGGCGGGGGAAGGAGGGAGTTTCACAACCAGGGAGTTTTGTCATGACCCATCCAGATTTCCGTTGGCCAACCTCAGCCTTATCTTCCTGCTTTGGGCTTCCTCTTGTAGGAGGCCAGGGTCCCTTCAAAATCCCCAGCCCTCTTGCCTGCAGCCTCAGTGCCCAGCTCTCCCTGGTTCCTGGAGCTTCTCCTGGCAAGCTGTGGGCTGTCCCTTACCCCCAGCTCCTACTCTTCCCATCCCTCACTCCTTCAGGTACAGTATTTGGCTGAATGTCCTAGACCGGGGCAGAGGAGGGTAACGGGGTGGGTTGTGATTCCACCTTCAGACCGGGGCAGACGAGGGTGGTGGGGGATTGCAAAGGGGGAATCTCCCTAAAGAACGTCCTTTGGAGTCATAGGCTCCTAGATTAGAGCTGGAAGGGACCTCATAAGCCAGCTAGTTTAATCTCTTAGTTTTATACAGAGGAGGAAACTGAAGCCCATGGAGGAGAAAAGACTCAGCCAAGATCACACATAGGATCATGGCATCAGAGCTGGAAGGGACCTCAGAGGCAATCTGCTCCAACTCCCTTTATTTTACAGGGGGGAAACTGAGGCCCAGGGAGGGGAAGTTACTTGATCAAGATCAAGAAGCCATTAAGTAGCCTTGAGTCCTATGACTTCACCTGTGCTGAGAATAGGTGGGGGCCCTACCCTCATCCTTTGCCTTTGATCCTACCTGAGGATTGCTGGAAGGGGATATATAGGAGGGGAAGATACTTCTTCTTTCTATCTTGGAGTTCCTGAGGGCCAGGGAAGGGGGCAATGCTTCCAACCCAATCTGACCCATTGGACTCTGTTTGGAGCTGCTCCCTTGGGAGAGTACAGGATAAAAATGGTAGACCTAGTTCTCTGGCCTAGACTACTCCTACACGGAGAGGGTAGCTGCCAGGGGACTGGAGCCAAATCTTGTCCCTATCAGCCCATCAAGGTCCCCCAGACTCTGGCGCTAGAGCCAAGGCAATCTGGCGGAAAGTGAGTCTGGGATGAGCACCGGACTTGGGACCAGACAAGTTGAGGTTGGGTCCCTGCTTTGCCATTTACTATCTGTGTGACCTTAGGTAAGTCACAGCTTCCATGAGTCTCACTTTCTTCCCCTGTATGATGAGGGTTTTAGGATCAAAGCTTTTGACCTCGGAGAGCATTGAGTCCAGCCCCCTAATTTTACAGAGGGGGAAACTGAGGCCTGGAGAGGCTGACTAGTATCTCCAAGGTCTCTTCTATCTTGAAATCCAATGAACATCCCTGGAGGTCACAACATTGTCTCTTAGAAGGAACTTGTGGTAATACCGATATTCTATGTGGGAGAGAAAGGATGTAAAATAATGAACTACCAAAACCTTCTGATGAATTAGGCTCTGAGATTAGATAACAAGAGTGCAGGGTCCTAAGGAGCCTGGGGATTGGGGACGTTTTGAAAGGTAGAGGCAGTGTGGGAGACATGTCAGGAGCACAGGACCTGAGAAGGAGGGAGTGAAAGAATGGGGAGGGGAGTTAGAAAGAGGGTCCCTGAGTACCTAGGTTGCATCCAAGGGCAGGGGGAGGCCCAGAAAGCATCTGCACTTGGGGGTTAAGGGAGGCAAAGTTGATTTTCCAGGAGGGAGCCTTCTGGCCCACTGTCAACTGGAGGCATGAAGTCGAGGGACACTTTCAGGGTCACTTTGGGCTCTGAGAGATTTCCCAAGTTTCCAAATAGTGTCGGGAGTAGGGCTGGGGATAGGATAGGGCCTGCTTATACTTGCCAGGATTAGTCGTTTACCAAGTTTGCTCCCTGAGCTATGACTTCAGTCCCCACCTCTGAGAACTTCTCAGGGACTTGTTTCAATGATCCTGGAGGCTCTTTACCTCTTCATTGGTTTGAGACACCAGCAAAGCCTTCTTACCTCCCTGCCCCTTCTACTCCACCCCAGAATTCCCCAGCTCTCCATAGGTTGCCTCCAGTGAGTGGCCTCGTGGCTCTCCCAGCCATATCTCCTTTCCCTGGATGCCCAAGGGGTTTCAGGTAGCTACCCATCTACTCACCCCCGTTCTCCCCTCCCAGAGGTGACTTTTCTGTCAGCCCTCCACCTCCAATCAAAGATCGCTTAGATGGCTCCTGGGACCCATCTTCTCATGACCCAGCCCTGCTTCCCAGGACAGATCCCACCAAAGCTGTGAAGCTCTGACCAAGCATTTGCCTCTCTCTGGGCCTCAGCATTCTCCTGTGGAAGTTGGAGGGGGTGGGATGACAAGACCTCAAAGGGCCCTCCCAGCCCTGACATTCCAGTCTGTAAGTTATATGAACAGAAATTTTAGAAGCCAAATATTACAGCTGTGAGGGCTCTCCAATGGTCAGTTTGTCCATCCCCCTGCAGCAGGCTGAGCAGGTGGCACTGCACATATGTGGGAGTGGGGTGGGCAGGAATTACTCTTGGCCTTCAGGGTGGGGCGAAACAAGAGGGTCCTTTCCTAAGGACTTGCATTTCAGGCTACCTCCTAGCACTGGCCTACTCTTTCCCCTTCTTCACCTAGTCTTTCGTGGGCCTGGACAGATGAATTAATGGGGAGAGGAGAGAGATGGGGAAGAGACTCATTCTAGTTCCCCTTTCCCCCACCCCCATCAAACCATGCTTAGCAATCTCTGGAGAAGAAACTATCTCCCTTGGTCACCACAGGACGTCTTGGTGCTCTTCCCCTATTTCTCTCTGTCACCATCTCTCCCCTCCCTCCTTGGACTTCAAGGTTTTCCCTTCCTACTTCCCAGGTTGGCTGTGAAGATCCAATCAGATCCCCGAGGGGGTAACGCTTTGGAAAATTATCCACAGGCTTGCAGGGTGTGAGAGCTGGGCAGGACCTTAGACCCAATTGTTTATGCTGGAAAGACCTCCGGCCCTTGAGAATGCAGTCTGGCAGGGGCAGGGGAAGGAGCAGAAGCACTTTCTTCTTGGAGGGGGGTAAGGGTGGAGGGTAAGTGGGGCTTAAAAGGCTGCCATCTTGGAAGCTGGGGGCATAACCACACAGTCTTCTTTTCACTGTACAGAGGGGCCCATTGAGGCACGGAGTGGAGGATTCAAGACCCAAGACCCAAGAAAGCTGCCCTGTCTTCTGCAATGCGAGGTTGTACTTGGGCCAGAACACACTCCCTTTCTCTCGTTCTCTCTCTTTTTCTCTCTTTCTCTCTCATTCTCTTGTTCTCTTTCTCTCTCTCCTCTCCTGTTCTCTTGCTCTCTTGTTCTCTCTCTCTCTCTCTCTCTCTCTCTCTCTCTCTCTCTCTCTCTCTCACCCCATCCCAGCTGTGTCTTCACCCCAGGCTCAAAATCTCGTTCTACCATCTGTGTGTCCGTTTTCCTCACTGGGCCTCAGCTTCCTCATTTGTAAAATGAGGGGGTTAGACTAGAGAGCTTTTGGGATCCATTTCACTCTATGATCCTTTGTTCTCTCTCTTTCTCCTCCTCTCCATCTCATTCTCCTTTTCTTCTTTTCTGTCTCTCTCTGTTCCTGTCTGTGCCTGAGCCTGCCTCAGTTTTTCTGTGTTTGGGTGTCTGTGTGTCTGCCTGTGTCTGCCCGGCTGTCTGTTTGTCCATCTCTCTTTCTCCCCTAGGGCTGCCCCTGGCCTCCAGCTCCACGGCCTCTCCTCTGACTGCAGGTCCGCAGTGTCACACTCCGTGTATTTGACAAGCTGAGTTGGACACTCCGTGTGGTAGAGTGTCAGTTTGTCAAATACCCCAAGTGAGACATTTGCCTAGCAACCCTGGACCGGGGCAGAGCGGCTGACCGATGGACTGTCCCTGCCAGCCTTGGATTTCCAGACCCAGATCTCTGGAGAGCAGATGCCAAGTGGATCAAGGGGACAGCTGTGGACGGTGCTTTCAGCTTGACCGAGGGTATTTGGGAAATGGTTGGAGTGAGCTCCTCAGAGACTGTAAGAGCAGGGAGAGTCAGGAAAGCTAAGCTTGAGCCCCAATTCTGCTACTCCCTAGCTGCATGGCCTTGGGTAAGTCCCTTCCCACCTCAGTTGAAGCATCTAGTGATTAGGTTCTAGTGAGAAACCGATGAGACAATTTATGTAAAGTGCTTTGTAAATTGTAGAGCACTAGATACAAATTCGCTGTTAATAATTCCAAGGCTTCTAAGGAGCTGGAGGCCTCTTTGGATGCTGCTCTGGTCGCAGAGCTTTGTGGCCCGGAAATAGATTACCCAGAGGGCCATAGGGCATATACTCTGTCCCAAGAGGGAGGAAAGAGGGAGGGTCCAAGCCCCAGGTACACTCTCATGACCTGGCTTTGTGGGGCTGGGCTGTTTGTAAAGGTCGTGCAATCCTGATGGTGCCCCACATTGGGATGGGAGGGGGGAGATGGATTTGGAATTAACCCAAGTTCACTCCTTGGCTCTCCATCTGTGTTACCTTGCTAGAGTCATTTCTCCTTAAGACACAACTGCCTTAAGGCAAATGGAAACAATAATCCCTGCATCACCTACTTCTCAAGGCAAGATTAAAGTATGTAAACTAGAAAGTGCTATATAAGTAGGGGTTAACATTGTTCTTATCATTCCTACTCATTCTTTGTTAGAATGGAAGCTCCCTGAGGGCAGAGACTATTTTGCTTTTGTTACTGTACCTGGAATATAGTAGGCACTTAATAAATGCTTGTTGCTGGATTGCCTCATTAATGTGTACTTAAGTCGCCAGAAAGCTGTTGGTATCATATATGGGCACAGTTACTCCTCTTCCTAAATCCCCTGTTGCTATTGAGGGCTTTGTCATCTAAGTTCACAACCACAGTGTCATCCTAGACTTCTGACTTGCCTTCACCCTCTATATCCATTCATTTGCCAAGGCTTGTCCACCATCCCTCACTTGGGCCCTTCCCATCATCCTCATGGGCCCTACCTAGCATCCCTCACTTGGGCCCTTCCCATCATCCCTCATGAGCCCTATCCATCATCCATCATGGACCCTACCTATCACCTCACTTGGGCCCTACCCATCATCCCTCCCTTGGGCCCTACCCATCATCCCTCATGTGGACTCTACTCATCATCCCTCACTTGGGCCCTACCTATCATCCCTCATGTGGACTCTACCCATCATCCTTCACTTGGGCCCTACCCACCATCCCTCACTTGGGCCTCCTTCTCATAGTGACTCACACAACCACTCCTCATCCCCTTTCACCTGAAACATCTCCACAGTGTCCTGATTGGTCTTGCTGTCCCAAGTCTTTCTCTGGATCCAACCCATCCTTTGCATGCCTACCAAAGTGATATTCCCAAAGCCTGGGGCTCACTGTGTTGCTCTTTTGGTCAATAAACCCCGGTGACTCTCTATTGACTCTAAGATCCAGTGAAAACTTCTGTTTGGCATTTAAAGCTCTTCACAGTCTGGCTGTCATCTACCTCTCCAGGATCATTAGACATCACTTTCCTTCCCACACTCCCACACAGTCTCATTGCTACTCCTCCCATATTGCATTCCATCTCTCATCTCCCATCGCCATGCCAAGGCATGGCATCCAAGGCAAGACACAGCCCTCTCTCTTCCTCTCCTCCACCATTTATAATTCCGAGTTTCCTTCAAAGCTTAGCTCAAATGCCACCTTCTACCTGAAATCAATTCTGATCACCCCAGCTTCTAGTTCCTACCCCTCAAATCATCCCAGGTTTATTTCAATATATCTTGTATATTCTTATGGAACATATCTTATATATTTTGTATATACAAACTGTGTGACCCTGGGCAAGTTATTTAAATCTCTCCATGTCTTAAACAACTAAGACTGTAAGTTGCAGAAAGGGTGCCAATCTGCCACTGTAGAGTTTCCTCTTCTGGGAGTCTCTAGTAGCAATGAAGTCACAAGTCTAGTCTCTCTCCCCATATGTACATGTCATCTTCCACAAGCTCCCCAAAGATTGTTGTTGTTTTTCAGTCTTGTCTGACTCTCCGTGACTCCATTTGGGATTTTCTTGGCAAAGATACTGGACTGGTTTGCCATTTCCTTCTCCAGCTCATTTTACAGGTGAGGAAACTGAGGCAAACAGGGTGAAGTGACTTGTGACTAGTAGGTGTCTGAGGCCAAATTGGAACTCAGGGAGATGAATCTTCCTGATTCCAGGCCCATCGCTCTATCCACTGCAGCACCACCTAGCGGTCCCTATCCTCAAGGATAGAGATTATTTAATCTTTGCCCTTATTTCTCCCCCATCTAGTATTGTGCTCAGCACCTATCGGTAATTAATAAATGTTTGTTGATTGATTGAATAATTGTGCCACATTGTTACAGACCAAACTCATGGGTCCATGGCCAATACAGACCAGATTAGGGAATGATGCAAGGGAACTGACATCACTCATCCCACCTTGGAAACCTTGCTGTTCTTTGCCTTTTCATTTTTATCCTTAATATTCCTATGAATCCCAATAAACATTAGAGCTAGAAGGGACCTCTGAGAGTATCATATAGTCTAAGCCTACTATTTTGTAGATAAGGAAACAGGGCTGCAGAGTGTCCCTCTCAGGGCTATGTGACTTGCCCATAGTCGCACAAAGAAGTGGCAGAGTTGAGATTTGAACCCATGTCCTCTAACTCCAAATTTCAGTGCAGAAACACTCTGCTCACCTTCTACACTTCCTCCCATGCAGGGCTACACAAGGAGTCAGGGAATGTTCCTAAAAGCTCGGCCCCATTCTACTAGCTATGTTCTAGCTCTCACTGTATGAGATGGGCAGCTAAGTGGTACAGTGGATAGAGTGCCAGGCATGGAGTCAAGAAGATCTGAGTTCAAATCCAGCCTCAGATGTTTGCTGGCTGTGTGACCTTGGGCAAGTCACTTTACCTTGTTGGCCCCAGTTTCCTCATCTGTAAAATGAGTTAGAGAAAGAAATGGCAAACCACTCCAGTATCTTTGCCAATAAAACCCAAAATGGGGTCACAAAGAGTCAGACACAACTGAAACGACTGAACAATAACCCAACAAGCCCCAGTGTTAGTTTTAGTCCCCAGTTCAATAACTGATAACTGAATGGAATGGAAGAAAACTGAAGTCTCAAGATCTGGGTTTGAGATCTTACCACATTTATCAGTTTGGTTACCTTGAGCCAGCTACATAACCTCTGATCCTTACTTTTATCATCCATAAAATGGGTATAAGGTCTGCAGTACCTATCTCACAGGGACATTATGAGGAATGCAATTCAGAAACCTAAAAACAATTGGCATGATACTTCAGAGAACAGATTAAACACTCCAAGGAGATGTGTCATTATTGTGTTTTCTCCCTTCACTACAATCTCTTCCTTCATACATTGCTTAAGCCAAAAACAACCCTTGTCACCCACTGGTCAACCTTCTGGAGTAAGCTCATATTAATCAATACACTGGTATTAGTAATCATTACTTCTCCACTAAAGTCTTCTTCCAATGCCTCCCAGATATGACCCTGGGATCTCTTGGGCCATAAAAACCAAAAAATTAGTAGGTGCTATCAAGCTAAGAAAGTTTGGGGGCCCATCTCAGGATGGCGGAAATCATCCCACAAATGTTGGGATGACCTGGACATGAACATTTTCAGCCACAATAACTGTCAAAGATGGTGGGGTGGGGTTTTGTGGTCTGCATTGACATTGATTAAAAGGGTACTCATCGATTAGTGAATCAATCAATCAAAAAGCATTTATTAAGCTTCTATTCCATGTCAAGTACAGTGCTAGACATTGGGCAAAGGGACAAAAATAAGTCTCTGCCCTCAAGGACCTTACATTGTGTCTGTATTAAGAAACATCTTTTAAAGTATTGAAGGAAATATCATTGGTGAAGTTATGCTAATCTTTTCACAAATTTATCTCCACTCCTCAGCTAGACTGTAAGCTCCTTGGGGGCAGGGATTAGATCTTACTCATCTTTGTGTCCCCCATAAAACCTAATGCAGGCCCCTAGGCATTGTAAGTGCTCAGTAAATCGGCATTGACTGATTTATGGATTTTCCATTATACTCTGTGACTTTGGATCCTTCCCATCTCTGAGACTCAGTCTCTATAAAGTAAAGGAGTTGGGCTATATGATCTATAACGTCCCATCCACATACAAAATTCCATGCTTCCCAGGTCACATTAGATCCTAATATTCTGGGTTCTAAGCACTGTCCCAGTTCTTTTACATCCTATGGCTTTAGGTTACTCTTGGTTCTAGTATTCTGTGTTAAGGTCCCTCCCAGCTCTGATCTC